TTACTGAACGGATACTGGATTCAGCACTGCCAACCGCAACATCATAGTTATGAGCAAGATCCGCGGTATTGCTTCTGACTTCGGCCTGTTAACATCTTTGCAAGCGGGAGCAGAAAGGGGGCTGGGGACAGTGTGCCACTGCATCATATCAGCTCTGTGCAATAGGAGTCCTGACAGCTGGGATTTGTTCTCTGTGGTTGTGAGTCCGTTGAAAGCTTTCTCTATAGAGCCATCAACAACTCAGTTGCAGCCTACCTGGCAAGCTTCATGTTCGTCTTGATGCAGTACAGCATTCTTATCCCATTGTAAAGTAGAGGGTCTAGACAATTTTAGACTTGGAAGGCTCCAGCTGGGACTGTCAGTGACTGGCACTCAGGTTTCATCTCCTACCAAAGGTCTGGTAACACACCTGGAGCAGCTGGCTCCTTCAACTGCCTCTGTGGGATTATGAATAAAACAACGGTCTTCGTTATGTGAGGATCCATTCCTCTGGTTTGTTAATGGTGCCTCTCTTAACTCCTCTGGCTCTGTGAGTGTTCCTGGCTCTGCTTGTGTGCCAACAATAGTGAAAAGGCTGTGCAAGACAACAGGAGGAATGTGGTGTGTGGCTTTTCCCTTTCCCAGTCATCCCCCTGATCCCCTCATGGCAGAAGCCTTGTCAGGGCAGGTGAACATCATGAGTGTCACATTCTGTGGCTTCTGATAAGGAAGGTACGGATGTTGTGAGCGGGTTGGTCAACTCTTCAGCTCCGGTGCCATTAAAAGTGTCCTACTATTTTGCATATATAGAATTCACTTCAGCTCTCCCAGCCCCACTCCACACACTAGCTGGAAATGGATCTCCCCCCCCCCTCCACAGCAGAAAGAGGAGGTAAAAGTAGTTTAGAGCGCTATTCAAGGTATTTCATCGTTCCAAAAAAGGAGGGTGGTCTCTACCCATCCTTGACCTGAGAGAATCAACATATCACACCCAAGAATTTCAAGATTCTGTGTCTAGATCTATACTTTTCCCTTCTTGGTTCACTTATATCACCCTCAAAGATGCCTGCTTCCACATCCCAATCGACCTCCAATATTGCAAATTTGTCTGTCCTTTGGATGTGCCCACTCAAAGTAAAAGGGGCTTTTCCTTGGCCTCTTCACTGGTTCAAGTGCATGGCAGTAGTTTCTGCCCACCTTCATTGTTGAAGTGATAGGGTTCCCTATATAGGGGTGGCATTTCATAGTTCCATCTTGCCTTTCCGGTCTGCATCATGTGCAAACAACTGTACGTATTCCGTTTGTTGTAGGCCTATGTCTCAGTGGCTAGGGACCACATTCTTACTCTGTAAGGAACCTTCAATTTATAGGAACAACTCTAGGCTCTATCTGTGGCAGGGCCTACACCATCATCCCCCTAATGCAGTCCTTCCTCTGGCAAACTCTGCAAAGGTCGATCCAACAATCTCTAAGGCTTATGGCAACCATAATTCTCACCAGGCTGAGAAGGAGACGTCTCCATTGTCTTCATGGATGTTTTGTCTGTAATCTTCAACCTATGCAGGACTCTCAGGAAAAGCTCCTACACATTCCATTGGTGGTGCACAAAGCTCTCCCTTTGGTGAAATTACCGTCACAGTCTACAGCCTTCATAACACCGTCACCCCAAATAACGTTATAGAGGCTTCTTTGTGGGGATGGTGTGGCCTCTGGGGCAGACACGCAGTTGGCCTCCTACTCACCTCCAGAGAGGCAGTTCCAAATCAGTTACTGGGAGCTTTCAGTTGTCTATAAATTTCTTCACACCTTCTCAGGTTACAAGGCAAAGGAGTGCAGATAGCCATATCAACAACATACGGTGATCCATGTGACGGTCACCTCGAGGCTAGACTACTGTAACGCTCTCTACATGGGGCTGCCTTTGTCGCAAATCCGGAAGCTGCAGCTAGTGCAGAATGCTGCGGCCAGCCTGTTGATGGGTCTTCCTAGTAGGGACCACATACAGCCTGTGCTGAAAGCGCTGCACTGGCTGCCAATAGCGTACCGGATTCGCTTCAAAGTGCTGGTTCTTACCTTTAAAGCCCTATATGGTCTGGGTCCAGCTTACCTAAGGGACCGGCTTTCCTCATATGTTCCCCCGTGAGCACTTCGGTCTGGGACGCAACATCTCCTGGCAATGCCAGGTCCCAGAGAGGCCAGGCTGGCCGCTACCAGGGCCAGGGCTTTCTCGGTGGCAGCTCCTACCTGGTGGAATAAGCTCCCGATGGAGATCCGGGCCCTGCGGGACCTTGTACAGTTCCACAGGGCCTGCAAGACGGAGCTCTTCCACCAGGCGTATGAGTAGGAGCCGCCACTACCATCATTATTGTTCCATCTTACCTGGCCCTGGACGAGGGAACACCAGTGTTTCCCTGGAGCGGATGATGCGGAGGAACAGAGTAGTGGCAATAGAGCTGTTATGCCATCTTGTGAAATAACATCCAGAGCACTTTATTTATTAACTGTTTATAATGTTATCTGTACTGTGATGATTTTAAATGATTTTACATATGTTTTATATTGGCGTAAGCCCTTGTAAGCTGCCTTGAGCCCGCGTAGCGGGGAGGGCGGGGTATAAATTGAATAAAATAATAATAAAATAAAATAAATAACACAGTCATAATGCGAAGAAACAAGGAAGCACAGCATTTATTCATTAACGCAGTTATACCCCACCTTTTCCCATCCTGCCACTTTGATTCACCTAGCCTGCTGCCTTTAAGAAGTGGTACATTAAGCACAACATCTGTCTGATCAGCACCGTGCAGCAAGCAAAGACACCACATTGGCAGATTCTGAAAGGGAGTATGGCATAACAGAATTCTGTTCTTAGTGCATTTGATCACAACAGCCTGTGCTCTTCTACCTGCTTTACATTTAATATTTATTGACAAACAATAAGAATCCTCATTAGTGAAGGAACGTAGGTAATACCACACATTCTAAATTTTGGCTTCCACGGCACAGTTTAGATAATGTTGATCTTCCCTAAAATTTGAATAAAGGAGAAAGGATGGAAACACTTCGAGTGACCTTCATACATTTAGTGTGAGTAGCAAAGTGGTGACTTAGTAAATGTAGCTCCGTTACAGAGAAGTGAAATCTTGCTTGGATTTTAATCAGGCACATAATTTCTGGCAAGATAGAAGGCCAATGTGGTTATGAATTCTGAGAAGCAGCAAAAATCCTCAAAGGTATTAAAACCTCTGCTGTGTGGGAGCGTTGCTGTTACTCCTTTTGTGGAATCCATGTCTGATAGAGTGATAGGTTAGGATGTGAAGATGAGGGCTGTCGGTTCCACTGCTTACTGATTTGGCTCTACTTACATAGCAGAACTGAGGCTTATATAGCCACTGTGAATCAGTTGCTGAAGGAGATAAAATACAAAGGAAAACGGCAAAACACAAAGATGCTTTAAAAGATTTTTTTAAAAAATAATTTATTTATTGGGTTTTTTTGTATTAGCAAAAAAAGATTTGGACTTAATTACTTGAAAACACAAAGATGCTTGAGGTTGACCCTTTCAGATAGGCCGAACTTTCTTCAGAGTGCATGTGGTTCTCATGTAACCATACGTTGACTTAATCGGAAGTTGCATTGAGGAAGGTCAATAAGAGCCAGAGAGTAAAAGCCTGGGATGAAACCATTTGTTGAAATAGAACCTTCTTCAGGTGTCATCTGGTAGAGAATTTTCATTATTGGATTCCAGAAGACTCTAGGGGTAGAGATGTAAAATTTCCGGAAATTTTGAAGCTCGGAAAAAAGCCCGTTTTTTTTCCGGGGGGGGGGGGGGGGGTTTTTG